TTTGGGTTACAAGTCCAACTCTCTAACCATTAGGCCACGACTTCCCTTTTGATGTGAAATGAAAACACCCTGTTCATCAAACTCTAAACACCTCCTGCATTTATGAACAATATCACAAAATGAGATGCAAAGGTTTCTTAAGCAATAAAGGAAAAGTTTATATGAGATTACAAGTCAGTTTTTTCTATGGTTGAAAAAAAAAAAAGAAAACCAGCAGGTTGTGATATTTTCTATGTATGTCATATTGTCTTTTAAGAATCTGCTCAATAAAAATGTAAAAAAAAAAAAAACATAAAAATAATACATGTCTGAAATAAAGTTCCATAAAAATCCAGAGACTCAGATGTGCAGTAGGTCAATCATTTTATCTGAGGATAAATTACTACATTGATATCTACTTAGTTATGTGAAATAGTAAAACACAAATTTTAGTGCATTAAATGTAAGAGAAACAATATATTAAAGACACCAAGAATGACTTTAGAACGACCCTCTCAATGTCACACTGGAAGATCTGTAAGTGTTCATATTTGACAGTGTAAATAAAATAAAAATAAAAAAGTTATCTTACTCCTTTCCTTATCTTTGCTGACATTTAAATGCACTTTAGTGATGACGTGAGCTCCACACCAGTATATCCCAGAATCCTCTTCTCTCAGATCAGTGATGTTCACAGTAAAGACTCCAGTAGATGCTTCATCACTGAAAGAGAATCGATCATCTCTGATCGTCTCCAATGAAACTCCATCCTTCACACACATGGAGGCTTCATGTGCTTTGCAGAAGCTTTTCTGATCTGCATCCTGATGTTTGCACTGGATTGACACGTCGTCTCCTTCATACTTAGTCAAGTTCAGCTCTGGAAATGATTACAGACACAAGAAGATCAATTCACAGCCGGAGTTTGACATATTCAGATGAATAAACCTTCCTCACCCTCGTTCATGATGACGATCAGATGAGTGTGAAGATAACTGAGCTCTGTTTCTAATGTCACTGCACACCAGTATTTCCCAGCATCCTCTGCTGTCAGTGCAGTGATGCTCCCAGTGAAGACACGTGCAGTGACGTTATCTTTCAGAGTCAATCTGTCAGTCTTGCTCTCTTTCTCTTCTCTCACAGTCTCACTGAGAGGATTTCTGTCTCTAGTGGAGCACTTCCCCTTACAGAGAGACTTTGGCTTTGATTTATAGATTGAATCATAAGGGCAGAAGATCTCAGCAGATTCTCCTTCACGTCTCACTACTGGAGCCACTGCAATCAAACATATACAGATACTTAACACACATGATTCTGAACAGACTGTATTTATTACAGTGAAATCATCTGAAT